GGCCCCGCCGGCTGCTTCTGCCCCAGCTGCAGGGCCCAGCCGGCCTGGCACATCCAAGGCGGTAGCTTGTGTGTGCTGGTGTGTAGGGGCTGCCAGGGAGGCCGCCGGGCTTGTCACTCTTCACGGGGCCCCTGCTGCGGAGCGGGCAGATCTCTTACTTGGTGGCTTGGGGTTCTCGAAAGTGCAAAAGCAGAAACTGCCTGGCAGTAGGACAGGCTCAAAACCGGCCCCATCCTCGAGGTGAAAGCGAATCCCCAGGCAGGCCCAGGGGTGGGGCGGGGGGAGGGGACCGGCCACGCAAGGGCCGGAGTCCTGGGAAGGCCTGGTTCTTCAGGGGCCACCTTTGGAGACGAGCTACCACTCTAAGCACGGATGTATTTTCCCTTATCGCTTGTCATAACGGGGTCACCCTTACGGGGAGCCCACGGTAACTACTCCACTGCCCTTGGATGATTTGGTCCCTGAGGGTTTCGCTACTGTAAAGGGCAGGGCTCTGGATGCTGCCTTTGGACTAATTCCTCCCGGTAGTTGTGTGTGTGAAAAGCCATGCCAGCTCTCTCTCGGGTCATCCGCTCTGTCATGGGATCCTTGCGGCAGCCCTGACAGGCAGGGCCTAGTAGACTAGGTGACTCAGAGCAGGTTCAGGAAGGTTCGAGAAGGTCAGTGTGCATCTCCACATACCAGCGGTCACCACACGGGGGCCTCCCAAACGGTTTGCTAAAGATGCAGCTTCCTGAGCCCCCACCTCTCAGAAGTTCTAACCTAGCAGTCTGAGAACGGGGGTGGCCAAGAATGGAAAACACTGCAGGATCTTCCAGATTATACTGGGGAGGGGCGGGGTGACCCACCACGCTTTGGACACTGGCTACCCCAGAGCTCTTTCTACTCCATAGGCCTCCTGCCGTCCAGGGATCAAGTCAGGTACGTGAGAGCCCATGAGAAGAGTGCAGATGAAGTAGTGCAGGACTCAGGACCAGGTTCGTTCTGGATATTTTGGCAGAGGCAGGGAGCAAGGAAGGAGCACTTGAGCTGGCCCTGCGGGCTGGCTTGGATTCCCACAGCAGGGAGAGCAGGACGGGCTTATCTGGCAGCCGCAGGAGTGGCTGGGCTTAAGGGAATGGGCCCAAGATGGGCTTGAGGAAAGGCCAAATGTTGGGCTTGCAGCCTAGGGCACAGGAGGAGGGAATGGGACTATTCTGGGGACGGTGTGGAATGCCAGGCTGAAGAGCTTGGATCTCCTTCTGTGGAAGTGGGGACAGGGATGGTGACACGATCCCAGGGTGTGACTCAGGAGACTGGGGTGAGGCCCAGGGGACACCCTTGCTCCAGGCCTGCAGGCCGTCCTCTAAGCAGGAAAGCTGCGGCGGCAGGACCCACTCAGGACGCTCAGCAGCAGAAGGGCTGAGGGCCCAAAATAGGGTGGCAGTGAGTGGGAGGAAAGGGATGACGGGGACACAGAGACAAAGCAGCAACTCCCAGCCCCGTTCCCACCATGCAGAAGTCCATCAGCCAGTTATCGGGGAGGGTTAAGCTAACCGCGCCCCTGCTTCCAAGCTCCAGTGACGCGCCTCCTGGTCCTGGGACTGGCGGCCATCCCCGCCTTCTGGCCGCCTTCCTGACACACGACTCCTGTCTCCCCTCAGCGAGGAACAAAAACCCAGGGGTTGGGTGTATGGTGTTTATGACCATAATGAACTGGCTGAGGCCTTTGCTGGGGGGAGGCCAAGAACCAGGCTTTAGAGAGCAGAGGGAGGCCTGGTGTGGAAGCCACCGGGCGTCCCCACCGAGGGTAATTACATGGCCGAAGACTTGGTCCTGCAGAGGGACCGCGTGCAAGTCCGGGGTAGACACCGCCACGTTGCCTAATTAGAAGGAAAGCAGAGTGTGGCGGCCTCGCGGCTACCGCAAAAGGGCTGGAACAGCTTAACCTGGAATGACCCTGAGCCCGCTTAGGAGGGACTTACTCGCTGCCCCCCTCCTCTGCAGTTCTCCCAAATTGCCTGGAGAGGGAGCTGGAGGCTGCAAAGCGGCTGCTAGGGACAGGCGGGTCAGGTGGCGGAACGAGGATTAGCATTCCCGAGCCAAATCCGGCGGCTCTCCGCCCTGTCTCATTTCTGCTCGCCCAGACTGGAGGGTGACTGCCTCTAACAGGGGGAGGACCTGGGAGCGAGCCCAAGGAGGTCTGTGGAAACCGGCCTGGAGACACAATAGGCAGGGAGGTGGTGGGAGGTCAGGAAAGAAACACCCCCGTCCCCATTAACCTGGCCCAAGACTCAAGGCCCTGACCACCACCACCACCACCCAGCCCCCCGTGAGCTGGTGGAACAGCAGGGAGGATAACTTCGCACTTCCGTTAACCGGGTAACCTTGGACTCCTCTGCTCTGCAGTGCCCTGTGCGGATAGCAAGGGCAGGCCACTCCTTCTGGCATCCCCAGGAGGTGGCGATTCATTAACCCAAACCCAGGGTGGACAAAGGCTGCTCGCCGGCCAGGAGAGAAAGCCCCAGGACCCCACCAGGCCCTGCAAGGGGATGGCCTGGGGCCTCCAGGTGCTTGCCTGAGTTCCCACGCAGTGCTTTCTGGACCTCTCCAGTGTCTACCCCCCTGGGGCTTCGACCGAGCTCCTCAGTTAACCCACTTTCAGAAGCCACCCCACATCCTCCCCCGGTCTGCCCTCCCAGGCCTGTGGGCTCACTGCCTGGGGCAAACTCCTAAAAGCAGCCAGAGCTGGGGCCAACCAGAAATGTGTTCTTGCGTGCCCTTTCTTTCCTTCTGGATGCTTAACTAAATCCCCTCAGAAAATCCAACAGGGTCACCCAGAACCGGATGTCCCAAGTGGGGCCAGGTGGGTTGTTGATCTTTGGCTGGTTTGCCCCAGTAGAGCTAACCTGGTTGTGAAATAAATCCCTGAAGCAACTAGTGAATAGCTTCTGCCCCAGTCTGCTGGCCCCCTCCCCTGGGACCCCCGGGGCCTTCCCACCGGTGAAGGGGTAGAGGAACCGAGGAATGAGGCTGGAGAACAGGCTCCCCACCCAGCACAGCGCCCCCTGGTGGTGCTGACCACCGCCCCCCCAGCCTTGCTTGGGTGGGGGCGGGGCTTGGGGGTGGTTTCCATCAGCTTCACCCACCCCATCTCCTTCCCCAGGGCCAAAGCTAATGAATGAAGCAGTCTGACACAAAAGGCTTTCCCCAACCTAATAAATGAAAATGAAAGTGTATAATATGGTTCCATGCAGGGTAGAAAAACAACAATATTTTTTAAAAGTCCCACAGAACCCCCAAAATACCCATTTGTATTTGAAGGTAAATGCACAGGAAAAGGTCTTCAAAGAATTCATGCCAGTTAGCTTGGTATTAACTTCGAGAATGAGGAAGGATGTTGCCTCTAGAGTGTGTAGGTAGGGCGCTCTCAGCTTTCTACCCTATATGCTTTGTGTTACGGGTGAATTGCGTCCCTAAAAATTCCCATGTTGAAGTCCTAACCCCACGTACCTCAGAATGCCACCTTCTTTGGAAATAGGATCGTGGCAGATGGAATTAGGTACAATGAGGTCACACCAGAGTCAGGTGGGCCCCTAATCCAAAATGACTGGTGTCCTTATATAAAGGGGAAACATGCACACAAGGAGAACATCATGTGAACACAAAAGCAGAGAGATGGGTGATGCATCTGCAAGCCAAGGAATGCCAAATATTGCCAGCAGACCACCAGAAGCCAGGGGAGAGGCATGGGACAGAGTCTCCCTCATGGCCCTCAGAAGGAATCGATACCACAGACGCCTCAATCTGGCCCCCAGAACTGTCAGACTATAAATTTCTGTTGCCTGAACCTCTCTGCGATAGTTTGTTCCAGCAGCCGCAATACACCAACACACTTTGTAGAGTCCAATATTGCACAGTGAAAAAGAGATCCCTCCCAACAGAGGTCGGAATGCATAATGAATATCGCTTATGAAATTAAAATTCAGGGGCGCCTGGGTGGCTCAGTCAGTTGAGCACCTGACTCTTGATTTCGGCTCAGATCATGATCTTATGGGTCATGAGAATGAGCCCCAAGTCGGGCTCCACACTCAGCGGGTAGTCCGCTTGAAGATTCTCTCCCTATGC